AATGACTCTGTGTGTGTGTGTGTGTGTGTGTGTGTGCACGCGCATGCGCGCCAGTGCCCAGGCTAGAGAACCCAGGACCTCACACAGGCCACGCAGGGGCCCTATCAAAGTCTTTGCTTGTACCATGAAACCTTGTGATAAGTTTGAGACTTGTCATCAGAGCAGCAGGATAATTCCCGTATTGTTAGCTGATTCGCACTCTGCTGTATCTATCTTCACTGTCCTTGAAGGCGAGATAACCAGGAGAAGGGGAGGCTGGGACAGCGCAGAACTCACCAGAGCAGGACTTGCTGCAGCTTCTTTTGCTTCAGCAATTCTTTTTGAGCCCCACATGGAGGCACTGAACCCTTTTTATGGTCATGATGCAGGCAGGGACCCTCACGTATGCCTTCTTCTGCTGGGTCAGTTCTGCAGCTTTTTTATCTGGCCAGTCCAACCATTGGTTCCTAAATGATGTGCTTGATTGGACTCTGGTCATCCACTGACTGTGATCCTCACTGTGTCCTGCTCCTGGCGTCATCTTCAGCACATCCTCACAATCCCCTTGAGCCAGTGGAGGTGGCCTCACCATCCTCTGCCCCAAGCTTCACAAATCCCTGTGACCTCAAACGGAGCTGGGCGCAGTGCAGCCTGGGAGCCATCTTCACTTCTTGGTGAATAGTCCTGATTCTTTAGCCATGCTGTGTTCAAGCTCAGAAGGGGTGGCCCACAGGGAGACAGGCCTCATCTGAGCCTTATGACCCCACCCTGCCGTCTTCAGGATCAGCTTAGGTAAAGCTTTTTGTACAATATGGCGGAGAATGCAGTGCGGAAAGCCAGATGCTGCCCTGAGACTCCACATCCCGCCTCTGTGCTCACAAATCTGGTTTTGCGGCCCAGCTCTGCCTTTTTATGCTTCTGCAGGCAACAAAAAAAGCTTTCTCTCCTCTCCACCAGACCTCAGAAAGGGCCTATTCATAACTGAGCTGTACTGTTCCCTCCCTGGAAGGTGGGGTGAGGAAGGTTCTGCAGACCTGAGAAACAGCTAGAAAATCTCAGGCTGTTGCCTTACCCTGGTTGAACTCCAGGTTCTGGGGATTCAGAGGTTAAGCCCTGAGACTTACGAGAGTGCAGGATCCCTCTAGGTTTGCTTGAATCTGTTTCTCTCAAGTGCTAGGTGAGAGGATATTGCCAGCCAACAGTTTTGTAGCCCTAGGACAACAGTTTGCAATCCATATTGCACAAGCTCCTGAAGTGCCCAGCATGTTGGCATTTGCCTGTAATCCTAGCACCTAGTAGGCTGAGGCAGGAGGATTGCCACTAGGAAGTTCAAAGCTAGGCTAAAATACATAGCCAGACCTTGTCTCAAAACAAACGAAACAACCTCCCAGAGTTTTTGCTAAAATGCAGATGGGTGAGAGAACTAGGGCAAGAGAACCCTGTGACAGGGCAGAATTTGCCAGTGCAGTATGTTGGCGTGCCCTGTAATCCTAGCACTTGCCCTTGTACTCAGGAGGCTGAGGCAGGAAGTTCGTGAGTTCAAGGCCAGCATGGGCTGCCTCACAAGCTCTTGTCTCAAATCAAACAAGAAGGTTTTGGGTTTTTTTTTCCTTTTTTGGGTACCAGAAATTGAACTCAGGATCTTGTGGTTGCCAGGAAGGTGCTTGTGCCACTGAGCTATCTTCCTAGCTTTATAAGTGGGTTTTTGAAATGCACTGTGATTCACTAAATGTGGACTAGAGCTCCAGATGCTAATGTTAGACAGCCACGGGTCCTATTTTGACTCAGAGACTGAGGCCAACCTCCAGGGCTTCAGCCAGCCAATAGCGGCAGCCCTGTGACCTTCAGCTTGTTCTCACAACACCCAGGAAAGTTCCTGGCATGCTGCCGACCGTTTAAACTGCATCAGCCTAGATCAGTGTGACAGTTTCTTAGAGCTCTATAGTATTTCCTGGAAATGAAGTAGGACAGAAGAAATAAAGATAGGTGGGAAAAAGAAAGAAAATCATACTTTTTAAAAAATTGTGGTTTTTTTTTTCTTTTCTTTGTCTATATTTAGGACAGGGTCCACAGGGTCTTGCTGCGTAGATCAGACTCCTAGTGATTCTCCTGTTTTCAGCCTCCCAAGTGCTGGGATTACAGGAGCGTCGCGGCGCCACCACACCCAGTCTCAATTGCAGTCTCAGTGTGCCCGGCCCATGGGCGGGGCCGGCACGCTGGGGATGGAACCCTGGCCTGTGCCCTCTGCATAAGCAGGCGCTTTAGTCCGCTGAGCCATCAGGCCGGCCCCCAAAATTGGGCTTTGATGAAGAGTGCAACTTAAGGACATAAAATTATTCAAGGTTATCTGTGTCTCTGTCCCCTCTCTTTATTCTTTTCACCCAGGCCAAACCTATTTAAAATCCCTAAAAGATACTGTAAGCCTCTTGATTAACTTAATTGGTAGAGTGCAGAAACCTGCCTTAAAATAGAAAAACATATTCTACATTTTCAACAAATTTTTCTTTGGAAAACAGATCACCCATTAAAAACAAAGCAAGGGGGCCGGGGAGATAACTCAGAAGAATAAGTGCTTGTCTGGCAAGTGCAGGATCCTGAGTCCAATCCCCAGTACCAGGGGGGAAAAAAAGCATAACAACAAACCCAAAAAACTAGGCCCGTGCTTTTTGCCTGTGAAGCAGACCATCATTTTTACCTGTAAAATGAGTTATTTTCTTTCCACTATGACCATCAGTTTTCTTCTGTAAACCAAGCCCAAGCTTTCTATAGATTCACAAATTCCACCAATTTTCATCACCAAAACCACATGAACATGGTTTTGTGGACGCCCAACCACAATGCCTCTTTCCAGAAGGCTCCCACACTATCTCTTTGAGTGTGTACTTTTAAAATTCTGCCCAATAAATACCTTCATGCCTCTCACTGACTTGTCCTAAGAAGTCCTTTTTCTACGATGAGAGTCTCTGGCACTGCAGCCTGCCCTGTGGGTGGGGTGAGAGGAGGGTCCCTGTCTCTGCTTTGGGGACCTCCTTTGACCCTGTCTTGTGGCAGAAAAATGAGCGGGGTCATTGTGAGAAAATAGTCTGCTCATTTGCAATTACAGAAACCACACCTGGATTCTCCAAGGGAGACAGCTGACTGACTATATGGAGATATATATA